ACAATTTGAATGTAGGCCCCTCTTGATTTTGAGGCCCTAGGCTGAAGCCTAGTTAGCCTATAGGAAAATCCGCCCCTGGGTGGGGGATGCAGCCTTAATAAATATAATGAAATAAATATTTAATTCAAACTGATACTGTATTCAGTTAAATAGATTTTTGGTGGAAAATACTAGGATCTAAAATTGGAAACAAACTCTTAATTTATCTTTTTTTATATATCTTTTTAGTGATTGCAAGGAAAATAAAGGCATTTATACCACACTTCGCTTGGAAAATCTCTTCAATATCCATAAAATCCTAAACATCAGCATGGTGAGTTTAACAGTTTATGAGCATCTTAGAATTTTACTATGCAATCTTTTGCATTTTGTTCTATTTTGATTTTGCTAGAAAGTATGATTTACAAGAAGCAAGCTGTTTGTGCATCTTAGTAATTGAATCCCTGGCCCAAATTTGAATTTTTATTATTGTTGCAAGGTGGCACCGTGGAATCCTTCATTTGTCCTTCAGCGCTGTTATTCATTCTGTCCCTGGCAGCTTGTCTGTGTTTAAAGTGTTTGGGATCCTCCTTCAGCTCAATTTTGCTTCAGACTGTTTCCTTTTACAGGATAAACTCTGTTTTTTTTTAAATGTTACAGGATTTGAATTACAATATTTACAAAGCACCTCTGATGCCAGCTTTCTCCAGGCAGTGCCAAACATTAAAAATAGTGCAATAAAAATGATCTAAGATACTTCAAATGAAATAGAAGCAATTAGTGTCCATTCATACTCTTGCTGTAGCATTTTATGATGCCAGTGTGCCAGGCTGAATTAAAAATGCTTTTTCCGTATGCCAATTAGTACATGCCAAATGCTGAGAAGTAGAGAAGAGGGCAAGTTTTCACAGAAGGGGCACCAGAACAGAAAATACTGTTTGGATCCCAAGGATGTGGATCTAGAGGGATTTACTATGCAGCCATTAGATGGGTTGACACGAAAAAGGGATTATTCGGGGTATTCTGATCCAGTTGTTTAGCCTTGCAGATTTAGAACATAGAACATAAAATAACAAGTTGGAAGCAACCTTGGAGATCTATGCTTGGGCACGAGATACTGTAACAGTGATGGCTAACATTTTTGTTGTTGGGTGCCAAAAATGCAAGCACTCTCTCACGATAGTGCACATGTGTGCTGGCACCCATAATGCAAAGTGCACCCCCACATGCACATGCACGCACAATCCCCTTATGCACCCCCCTCAGGCGCCGCACTGTTCGCTTCCAAGCTGAGCTTGGTATTCCGTCTGGAGGGCCAGGGAAGGCTGTTTTCGTCCTCCCTATCCTCCAGGAAAGCCTCCGGAGCCTGGGGAGGGCGAATAACAGATCCAATAGGCCTACTGAAACGAATTTCTGGTAGGCCCAATGGGACTGTTTTTCACCCTCCCCAGGCTCTGGATGCTTTCCTAAAGCCTGGGAAGGGTGAAAACAGCCTACTCCGGCCCTCCAGAAGGCCAAAAATCAGCTGGACGGCATGTGCTTGTGCGCTGGAGCTGATTGCTCACATGCCAGCAGATATGGCTCCACATGCCACCTGTGGCACGCGTGCCATAGGTTCACCATCATGGCTCTATACCATTCTGGATAAATGATTGCACAATCTCTTTTTGAAAACCTACACCCACAACTTCTAGAGGCAAGGCTTTCCACTGATTAATAGTTCTCACTGACAGGAAATTTCTCCTTAGTTCTAGGTTGGATCTTTCTTTAGTATGATCCTTGTCCTGCCGTCAGGTGCTTTGGAGAATATGCCAATTCCCTCTTCTCTGTGACAGCTCCTCAAATATTGGAAGACTACTATAATATCACCCCTAGTCCTTCTCTTCATTAGACTAGACATACCCAGCTCCCCCAACCATTCATCCTATGTTTTAGCCTCCAGTCCCTAATCATCTTTATTGCTCCCCTCTGAATTCTTTCGAGTCTCAACATCTTTTTTATATCGTGGTGACCACAATTGGATACAATACTTTTAAGTGTGGTTTAGTAAAGATGAAAATTCATTTGAATTGAATTCAATTTCTAGTAGCTTCACAGATATGCTGGAAATGTTTTGGGAGAAGTGACCAGAAAGTTTGACATTCCTTTCAGCTAGAACAAGGGTACCCAACCTCCAGGCTGTGGCCTGGTACTTGAGTGTACACAGCTCTATTTTGTGTGAGCGGCAAGCGTTCACAAACTAGAAACTCCATTTGCGCTCAGCGTGAAACTCCATTTGCATGACCAGTGGGCACTCATGATGGCCTCAGTACTTTAAGTACAACCCTTCTTCCAGGGCTAAGGTAACCACTCGCACTCGGGATTCTTGGGTTTGAAACCCATATTCTTGCATGTAGGTGAGCACATGTGCCACAAAGAATCCCAATTTTTTTGGTTTCCCATCAAACTTCACCCCAAGGGAAGGAGTTTTTCTTTCTAATTGCAGGTTTCAGAGTAGGTTGGGAGTGCCCCCCAATCCATGCGCCAATTGGGTGGAGGGTTTGCTGGGCTCCTTGCTGTTGCTACTGTGCCATCTGCTTGATCAGCAGGGCCCAAAGGGGGATTAGCCTCCCTGGCATCATTTGTGGCTGAAAAGAGAACAACATCTTTCCTGAAAAGAGAACAACATTAAAGTTAGTATTTAAAAAATTAACCACCTCTTCCCCTCCCAGGGGGACCCTTTGGCTTATCGGGAAACTTCTCATGGAATTGTTTTATTAAACTATCCGCCTTTAGATCCCAACTTCATTTCCAATTTCATCCTTGGCCACCAAAATTGACGCCTGGAAAGGTGGAGCGTTTTTAGGAATCCAAAGTGGCCGCCTAATTTTGCATTATGGCTTCGCTGTAGGACTTCCAGCCTCAATCCCGCAGGGACGTACAGTTTGGACCCCTTCCAGGCTAAACCACAAGAATGTCCTTGTTATTGTTGAACCACGGGTCTGCTGGGAGTGCTGCTTTGAACTCTATCATCAGCTTATCTTGGCTTTGGGTGGTGACCTGGGCCACCTGTTGGCCGGAGGAAGAAATGATGGGTTGAACAACTTCTTCCTTCTTACTGTCGTACTGCGGTTTTCTCGACAAAGCATCCGCCAACAAGTTCTTCCCTGCAGGGATGTGTTTAATGTTGAATTTGAACCTTTGGAAGTATTATGGCCAGCGAACTTATTTGGGAGATAATCTTCGATGGGCATGGATAGCTTCGAGGTTTTTATGATCAGTCCAGACCTTGAACGGCATATTCCCCCCCTTCCAAGAGATGTCTCCATGTGAGCAGGCTCTACCTGGCTGCAAACGCCTCTTTCTCCCAAATGGCCCAGCTCCTTTCAGTAGTGGTGAGTTTCTTGGAGATGTAAGCGCACGGCAAGAGGTGGCCCTCTCTATTATTTTGTAGCAGCACAGCAACTATTGCTACATCACTGGCATCCGTCTGGATTATGAATAGTCGCTTGGGGTCGGGGTGTTGCAGTATGGGCTCTTAAAGAGCTGTTTTAATTTCCCAAAGGCTTTTTGACAGTCCATTGTCCATTTCAGGGGTTAGTTTGCTTTTGGCTTCATTGGGGAAGGCCCCATTTCAAATTGATGTCTATGTAATTCCTCAATTCAACCATCTCTTTGGGGTCATGGAGTACATTTTCAGCTTTGCTAAGTTAGCCCCTGGTTTGAAGTCTATTGCACAATCTGTGGGCCGGTGGGGGGTGGATATAGTTGCAAT